GAAATAAAGAGAGGGAGTTGTGTGAGAAATTTTATATCTTTATATGTATTTTTATACGTTTTTCAAAAAGATGTTTTAGTAATTTTCCACAAGTGAAATAGGAGAATCATTTTCCTGAGAATAATGGGAGAACAAGAGTTACCCCTTTTCATATCAAACCTTTTGCTTTTTTAAGTGTATGCAAAGAATAATTTTTTACTAGTCTTAGTTCCCTTGTAGCTTTCATCTCTTCGATAATAGCAAGGGTAAATTTATTCTTCTAAGATGCCCTAAAGAGGCATTTTTAAATAATATATACAAAAAATAGGAGAAAATAGCAAGGGAAAACTATATAAACAAGGAAGGTAAATATTTTACCTACAGAAATATACTTTCAATTATCTTCGTTTCTCATGCTATTATTAAAAATATCTCTGCTTGGATGGAACCGTTTGTTTCCATGCTGCCTTCTCCTTTGCTTCTCTTGTGAACTTTTTAAATTTTGCGTCTGGCAGCAGTTTTGTTTTCCTTGGCACTCAGTACTGTGTAACATACTCTTAGCTGAAGGCTGTGATGTAGAAATTTATTATTAAAAATAAAAGTGAGGGAGAGAAGAATTTATTCCATAAGGATAAAAATGACAGTGTCAAGGAAGTTGGGATTTTCAAAATGCTTTATATAACAGATTATATTTCTTTTCAAGGAAGTATACTTGTTTCCTATGAATAATTATAAGGGTCTTCCTTTTGCCTATCTTGATATTAATGGGAGATGAGGAAGGGAGGAAAGATAGTGGGGGGTTTTTTTGTTGTTTTTTCCCCCAGAGAATTTCTTCTTCAGATGGAAAGATTTTTGTTTGCCATATATAGGCATAACCTTGGTGACCTGTATATCCCAAACCTTCTGGTAAGATGCTTATTAAAATGTTGTTACCCAGAGGAGTAATCATAGTTAAATAGCTATGAGAATATCTTTTATAGATGGTGAGAGACAAACTTTTTTTCCTTACTGAATTAAGCAGCCATATACTTTTGTCAACCAGAATATATTTCAGTTTTCACTTTTTTAATAATTTTTCTAGTCTCAGTACCCTCCCCTGTTTTTACATTTCTAGCACCTTTCTATAACTAATCTTAAAATCATTGGTATTCCTCCTCCAAAAACAGTATTGTGTCATGTTAATAAACTTTGTCTCTTTTACCAGAATCGCCTAGATATCATACTGCTACTCATTGATCTTGAAAGCTTAGCCCAGATGAACTCATTTGCTAAAAGAAAATAATAATTCCACAATTTCAACTTCAGTTCCTCATCGTCCATGACCCATTTATGTCTTTTATCTAATCCCATGATAATGTCAGATGACTACTTTGGTCATCTGCAATTTAATACTAATCCTACCTGCTTGATTCACAGGATGTTTTGACTTTCTCATTGATATAACATCAACATCAGTTTGTGCTTAATTCTGAAATTCATTGACTTCATTGTGCAAGCTCTCCTCTTTACTGTTTATTATAACTGACCAATTATTTTCATTTGTCGTAATCATTAGTCAAGGGAGTGGGGATAGAGAAGCGTCTTTGTACTTCCTAAAACACTAGCCCTGTGGTTCTGCTTTAACAGAAATATGTACCAGATCCCAAATGCTTCATTTTAATTTAATCTATAATATTAAGTAAGTCAGGCAGTTTAACCACACTGTGAGGGTTTTCTTTTTGGTACAGCTTTTGTGTGTGTGTTTTTTGTTTTTTATTGTGGCAAAATATACATAACATAGAATTTACCACCTTAAACACTTTCTTCATTTAATCAAAAGTATACATATTTTTACATTTAATATTATTTTGTATTAGTTTATGAATATTTTTTAAGGAATACTGAAAACATTCTGCCTATTTTAGTCTTTGGTCCATGCTCTGAGAACAGTGTTCTTATGACAGCAAAATAAATTCCATATGTAAATAGGATAAATATTCATATGCTACCATGTGCTAATATGAAGTGAATCCTCACTTCCCCACTCTGCACCCAGCATCCCATCTGTGCCGGGTATGGAGAGGTACGAGGGCCTTGACAGCCTATCCAGCCCACAGCACCACCTTTTTCTTTGCATTTAAAAAAAAATTATAGAAAATAATATAATAAACCACATACACCAACTGAAATAATTAATACTGATTTTCAGCTTCGATTATTTTAATTCAAAATAGAGTTTAAATGTTAAAGCCCTTGTGTGATTTCCTCAAGTGCAAAGGGAAAAACACCCTATTGATTTCTGTTGAATAAGAACGTTCCAGTATCTCATTTATCATTTTTCATTCCTTTTTAGATTATATTTTACTTAGCATACAGATTTTTATAACTTTGCATTACTTTGAAGAAAGTTGTAACAGTATACCTTTAAAAATATTACCACATGCTTGATCAACTCAGATCATTAAAATATCTATAATAATAAAAGCATAATATGCTAATTAGGCCAGATTTCCTTTTGGAGTATCTTCCTGATAAAGCTGGGGCTGCGAGGGAAGCCCAGGTCCCAGGTGCCAGAGGGAAGCTGGTGCTAGGCAGCCAAGGGAAGGAAGGCCTATGCTTGCACAAATTTATATCCTATGTAGTAAAGAGGTAATATGCAAATTGACCATCACTCCAACACACAAGATAGCCGCCCCCATGTGGACACAAGATGGCCGGGAGGGGAGGGCAGTTGTGGGTGATCAGGCCAGCAGGGGAGGGCAGTTAGGGGCAATCGGGCCAGCAGGGGAGGAGTTAGGCGTTGATCCGCTGCAGGGGAATGGTTAGGGGGTGATCAGGCTGGCAGGCAAAAGCAGTTAGGGGCAATCAGGCAGGCAGGCTCAGACCTCCCTTGAAGGGTCCCAGATTGGAGGGGATGCAGGCTGGGCTGAGGGACACACACAGCACCCCCCCACCCATGCACGAATTTCATGCACCAGGCCTCTAGTATTAATGATATTAAAATATTTATATATATAAAAGACTAAGCGACTGTCCTACCATCCAACCGGCTGGTAGGTATGATGTACAGTGACTACCAGGGGGCAAATGCTCAATGCAGTGGCGTGACTTGGCAGTGGCAGTTCTCGGGTGATGCACCCCAGAAACAGAGAAGAGGGAGCCTGATTGCTCTCAGGGCCCCGTGATTCCACCAGGCTGAGGGACCCCCACCTGCTGGAGGGATCCCACTTACTCACCAGATGCCCTTCGAGCTGTGGCCCTGCCCCAGGTGCAACAGGCCAGTGAGGGACCGTAGGAGGTTGGCTCTAGGGCATGTCTGGCCTGTCTTGCCCAGTCCCATCCCCCGAGCCACCTTCTTATTAATTTGCTTTCAATGTGCACAGATATGTGCAGCTGGGGGGAAGGAAGGCCTACTCTTGCACAGATTTTGTGCATTGGGCCTCTAGTAATAGAATAGACTTCTTTTACCCTAAATTTCTCCCATTTGCCTCTTGCATAATTCTGAGAAAATAATTATCTCTGATAGATAAATTTTGGCCAATTTTACTGTTTTATGCTTCAAAGGAAAAAGTCAGATTTAGAGAGTAAATTTTTGGAGGTTTTTTTATAAGTCCTGGTTTGTTAATTAACAAATTTATCTTGTAGTAAGTGATGGTGTTAATGAGTCTATATTTATATGGAATTTTTTCACTTCCAGTAAAATTACATTTTTAGCATGAGTCTACTGACTATTGATATTCATCCTGTAAATTGTCCCTATCTGTAAATTCTCCCAGTTATCTACTAGTATTATATTCATTTGAATTTTTTAGAACTCTTAATATACTGAAATACATTATTCATTTACTACAGATCTTTCATCAATGTGGTATTTGTGAGAACATTTGAAGATTTTATATAGTGGATCTATTGAACCTTTGTGTGTGTTTTTTAATAAATTAGAAAATCTTACTACATTCCAAGATAGTATATGCTGGATTTTATTCTATTTTATACTGATGGTTTCATCTTTTTAAAATTTAAATATTTTTATCTGTCTAGAATTTATATTTGTTTATATTTTATAAGGTTCAGTCCAAAGAATCTATTATTATGCTTTCATTTGTTGAATAACTCATCAAATACCCATTTATTTTTTAATTTTCTTTTTCATATTTTTTTGCTACATATACTTGAGCTCATTTCAAAAATAAGGAGCTGAATACATCTCATTCATTTATATTTTGAGTTTTAAATCACTATCCCATAATCCATTTAAATATTACAATATACTTTAATGACCACTTTGTCACTTTTATCTTTTCTAATATTTTTCTGATTCCTTTAAGATTATTCTCTCAGATAAAATTAGGTTATTAGGTGTGTGTTTTTAATTTTCTTGAAAAGTACAATTAGCTTTTGATTGAAATTGAGTTAAACCTGTAAATTTCTTTGGGTACAACTGAACACTTGAAATTTTTATAGAATTCAGACTTCTTTACCATTTTTTGTATATGGTTATCAAACATTTTTTAATAATATTCTAAGGTATATTATTTTTTGTTGCTTTGTTAATAGTTTCTTTGTCATTACATTTACTGAAGTCATGTTTTTATATGGAGATGATAATGTATATAAACATGATGTATAGTCTACCTTATTAGTGAGCTAGATTATTAGTGGCAGGAGTATTCATGAGTAGTGAGTGTACTGGACTCTTGCACAAATTTCATGCACCAGGCCTCTAGTATGTAAATAAAGCTTAACATGGTTTAATGTCTGTTCAGGGTGTTTCTTACAATGAACTGTAAAGCTGTCCATTAGCAAACTCTTTTTGTTACACAGTGATATTAAAATATCTTCATAACTATTAGCAGTTGAAATATTACCTATTAAACCAGAAGTTTATTACTTCATGTATGTTCATTTATTCATGATGCTATTTAATACATTACTATTAAAACATACATTTCAAAAGCCTATTCTTTAAAGAAAGAGTAAAAATATTTGCCATGTAAAATAAGTATCATTTAATTTACTGTAATTATTATATTATCTTACAGCTCATGGGGCATTCAGAATGGGACCACAGACGGGGGCCAAGAGGATCACAGGTAGGTTATTTTCTTTTTCTGTTTCTTTTTTGCATTTTATTTCTTAACACTTTGAGTCATGAGATTTCTAAAACTCAAAAAAAAAAATAATAAGAAATAGAGGAAGAGGCAAAATAATCATGCCATTTGTTTTTACTTAAGTTAGCTATAATTAAAGTCTGGTTTCACATCCCCAAAGCAGAGGCCAGTGTATTCCTTCTCAGAGCTTTCTGATATCCCAAATTGGCTGTGTTTTTATGAATGCAGATTTTATACGCATCTTGTCTCTGCCAAACACATTTTGATCAGCAACTCACTCTCTTGATTTTATTCTCTTCCTTTGATAATTTTTCTATGTATTTCTTCTTTTCTCTATCTTCCTGTGTTTGGTTAAATATTTTGAAATATAATCAGACTAAACGCTGAACTAATTACAGATTTTGTCTGTAAATTAACTGTCTTCGTCTTAGGGAAATAGAAAGATGAAAGGACCTATTATTTTGAAAAGAAACAAATTCTAAACCTTTCTATATTACCAGACTGTTTTCATTGTCTTATTTGATGTCTTAGGCAAGGAGAAAAGCTTCCATGACGCATTTATGCTTTTTAATGACCTAATTAGACAATGTGGATTTGTTTTGCTTCCATAATTACTTTGCCTGACAGAATAAAGGCTGAGTTTTTAGCTTCAGAAAATTATCTCTCCTCCCAAGATATTTTGTGAAGAAATATAAAAATTATTTATTTCATAGCAGCCTGAGTTTATCTGATGATAAACATGCCAAATGAAAGTGAAGTAGATGGGCCATGTTTACCTCTGCTGCTCACATTTTGCACTTGCCACTAAGAAATATGGTTAAAAGAGAGTTGAATGGGCGATACTGTCTATGAAAGTTCATTAGGAATGTGAGATTCTCCCAGGTGTTTCACAGCACTGACGTGGACCTATGCAGTGATTACGTTTGCATGGTTAACTATTTAATTTAGGTCCCTGGGAAAATAAAACCAAGTCAGTCAATTGTTTCCAGTTGTTATTCTAATAGCTGTGGTTTTATTTGTGTTCATTATCAATTTGACTAGTAAATCCAGTTAAATTAGGATTACCCAGAAGAATTTATGCCTTTCTTTTTCCTACCTCTCACTTCTCCTTCTCCATTTTCTCTGGCAGCAACTCTCCCTCTGTCCATATCATAATACTAGAGGCCTGATGCATGAATTCGCCCACCAGTGGGATCCGTGGGACTGGCCTGCAGGATTGGGCCAAAACCAGCTCTCTGTCATCCCCCGAGGGTCTCGGAATGCGAGAGGGTGCAGGCCAAGCGCAGGGACACCACCGGTGCATGATCGGGGCCAGGGAGGGATGTGGGAGGTTGGCCAGCCAGGAAGGGGCCCTGGGAGGGCTCCAGGGTGTGTCCGGACTGTCTCTCTCAGTCCTGATTGGCCGGACCCTAGCAACAAGCTAACCTACCAGTCGGAGTGTCTGCCCCCTGGTGGTCAGTGCACATTCATGGCAACTGGTTGACCAGTCGACTGTCTGCCCTCTGGTGGTCAGTGCACATCATAGGTAGCGGTTGAGCAGCCTTAGCATATCATTGGCATATTACACTTTGGTTGAACAGACGACCAGATGACTGGACACTTAGCATATTAGGCTTATATTATATAGAATTTTAAATCAGAATATACTGCAAAGTCATTAATGAAATGAGGAAATTAATGTATGTTAAAAACTTTGTGATTCTAAAGCAATAAAAAGTAAAGATGAACACAAGTAAGAAATACCACCATGGTTTCTGGTTAATGCCATCAAAGACATTTTGATATTCAAACATGCCAAGTTTCTTGCTTATGACATGTCCCTTCAAAGTAATGTAATGTTAAACTTGTTTAATATTTACTCTTATCATGACCTATTTGAATATAAGTTATCTTCAGGTTTGGGTTGCCAATATTAATTGAAAAAATTGTTATAAAAGTACAGTGTTGTGTTAATATTAAGCATAAAAACCCCAGAATGAAAGTTTTTAAAAATTCAGTGTATTGCACATAGCTATAAAACTTCAGAATTCTACATACACACAAAACATGTTCATAAATAACGTTGATTATATTTAAAAGGTTGAAATGGTTCAAAACAGCAAAAGCACTTAGAACATTCTTGCATGAATTACTATTATCAGCATCAAGGTCTTTCTTAGACCTCTCAACTAGCTAAATAACTATTCCAAATGTAGTACACCTTTGCCTCACTTTACTTCAACTCAGAAAAAAAAAATTATCTAGGTAAAAAGCAAAACATGCACCAAAAAATAAAAACAATAACAGCTACAACAAAAAACTTTGGGGGGAGGGGATTTCAGATAAATAAATTAAGCATTGAGTAATAACTTCTTATCTAATTGTAATTTTCATTGGGGGGGGGGATACATTGTATATATGTTTTAGATGCTTGATTTTTTTTAATCTTGCTATACTTCCTTGGACTATAAGTCTAGTCAAAAGCCTTTCAGCAATTCCAAAGGAATTCCAGACAGACTGGACTTGAATACAGATCTCTTAATATTTTATTAATACCCCAAGGCCTTGCTCAAATTCCATCTCAGCTTAGTTTCAATGAAGGCAGATTTTAAGCACTGACTACGTGTAGAGCACTATTGTAGATATAACTTTGAAGAAAAATTGAATGACAAGGTTACTGCTTTCTAGAAGCTCAAAAGTTATGCTTGGAAGCAAAGCAATATTTAAACACAGTTGTTTGTGTGGGAGATAATACAATAATTAATAAATAATATGGCAAGGATAAACTTTTTTGCAAACTCACAACTGTAAACCTCCTTTTGCCCCACTCTGTATATTATTTGCATGTAATTCAGACTAGCAGATGTGATATTAAATATATAAGCAAACTATGATAGGGGCATGATGTCTGATCATCAAGAAATACCTAGTAGAAAGCAGACAGCTGTTACAGATGTGAGAGGCTGGACTTGAAGACAAATTTTAACCTATTTTACATAATTCAAAAAACACAAATATGTGCCAGGCATTTTTTGAGCCTCGGAGGAGTCAAAAATGAACTAAACAACGTTGGCCTTCAAAAGCGTATAACTTTATCTAAAGTCAGCCTGACTTCAGAGGATAAAGGAAAAAATGAGCTAGTATTGCCTGGCTTTCCCCCCGACATGCTTACTAACTAAGAGATTGTGTCATATTGTAACCTGATCCTCCTAAATTATATCATATGTGCATTATCACAGAGGATACGAAGGTGTACCTTTCATATCAAATCTTTCTGATTTTAAAAAATACATATATTGCTTCAAAGAAAGTCTAACATTTAATTGCTTATGACTCTTTAGATTCAGCAAGAATTTAAATTCAAATGCATTTATTTACTCTATTCTCAATAATTTTTATGACATAATTTGTCAGCTCACTCACATCTCTCAGACTGATTCTTCTTTTAAAAAAAAAAAAAAGAATGTTCGTTCAAGTAATAGATCATCCAAATTAGGGAAGATGCTAAAGGATAAATAAACTTCCAGCAGCATGCAGAACTCCTTCATCTGGCAGCATTCCCAGTAATACCAAATGAAGTCAGGGGAAGAAATTCTCAGAAGGCAATTAGTTGGATTTTTTTTTCTTTTAAATTCTTGAGGAAAAGTTTTCCAGTGGGAAGCTGAGAGAGGCAGTAAAAAATGTATCTCCTTTGAAAAGCTAAAAGTGCTGGGTCGGGGAGTGGGGGAGGTATCACAGAGCCACTAATTTTTTTATAGCTGTTGAGGGTC